TCTACCTGTTCTGCTCCCCACTCCGTCTCTGGTGAATCCTCTCACTCGCCACACCTCTCACCTGTAACCCCAGTTCTGTAAACATAAATAAATTTTAAAAAAATTTTCTAAAGAGCAATTAGAAAAAAATTTGTTTTTCAATTAAGTTCTACCAAGGGTATGGAGAAAAAGAAGCCCTTCCACACTGTTGATGGGAATGTAGACTGGTCAATCCCTATGGGAGGAAGTATGGAGGCTCCACAAGAGACTAAAAATGGACCTACCCAGCAATTCCACTCCTAGGTATCTATCCACAGAGCACAATAACACCAATTTGAAAGGAAACCTGCATTACTATGTTAATAGCAGCATTATTTACACAGCCAAGCTATGGAAATAGCCTAGAACAGACACGTGAATCAAGAAGAGGCGGTAATACACACAGACACTGTGTATTTCTCTGCCAACCTCCCTGTCGGCTTTTAGACTGATCCACAACCTCCCTGTCGGCTTTTAGACTGATCCACAATCACACTAGTCAACTGCTTAAAATGTATTGTTTTCTAGATACATGACCTACTAGTTCTGTTTCTCTGAAGAACCTTGACTAGTACTCTATGAAATGTGGGGGCCGGGCACATTTCAGTCCATTACTGAATCACAGTGATCCAGTTAAGAGAAGGGATAAACCTAAACTAAACTAACAGCAATGCAGGAGAAAAGTGTGACACTAAGAAAAATAAAAAGAGATGCCATGAATTAAATATGAGTAGTGAAAGGACTATGACATCCTGTTTTCTACAACTGGCTGAAAAGTAGTGCCATCAGAGCTGGGAAAATACAGTACTGACCCAAAGGAGCCCCAGGGGCGTCAGATTTGAAAAATGCAGGTGACCTGAGGAGAGGAGGCAAGAACTCAGACTGGCAACAGCAGGATTACTAAAGACTCAACTGTCACTGACAGATGTGAGATTGAATTTTGTCCTAGTTTCAAATTAATCAGCTGATTTGTTACTTTTTCGTATATGTAGCAACACAAAATTTCTAAATCAAAGAAAATATTTTATTAATCATAGCATAGATGCATCATATTTGCACTGGTTCCCTCGGCCTCATGTTCCTCAATGGTAGCACAATATAAACCAAAATGGATGATGGGCACCCAGGACAGAGGTGTAGAGGCAGTAAGAGGATTCACCAGAGACAGATGGGGAGCAGAACAGGCCGACTGATGAAGTACACTGCTGAGAGGAGCAGCGGGTCAGAAGAGGTCTGCCACGCCATGTGGATCACCTCCAGGATGGGGATTGAACTCATGCTGAAGCAGCTTTAGCTTCTTAGTGCTGTGCTCTAACCCACTGCGCCCGGAAGGGCCCGTTTTATATTATTTTTGAACCAAATTCCCAAAAATCTAAATTCAGCATATGACAAGAACATCCACTGTTAATGCTGATAGTTAGAAGACTATTACTCGTCATACTAATTTTGTTCACTTAAGTGCTGACAGCTAGATCTATTTTAAATCCTATAGTTTTCTCTTTACAATTATAAGAAATCCATGAGGTATTACTTAGGTACTATCTAAATATCACCCCACAGCCTTTCACTTCATTAAACTAGAACACACTGATGTTACTTATCTGAATCAATTATTTTGTGGAAGGGTTGGTGTACTAATAACCATAAATTTAGGACCTTTACACAGCACAATTTAATATCTCGCAATTTGTGAAGACAGGTTTGGTGATTTTCACTTGGTGACAGTATAGTAGATATATTTTAAAAATATGATGGAATTATGATTTTATATGTTTTATAATGCTAAAACCCTTATTCTTATTTATCCTCAAATTATTCCTATTTTTGCCAGACACCCATTCAGACTGTTTTCTCTGCCCTTTTCACATAATTTCAAGTGTTTGCTTTCCAGCAAAATAAGATGTCCTAGGCTTACCTAATAGTTTACCAGTCCTATAACAGGGTAGTCCCTAAGAAAAGGGGAAGTTCCAGGTTCCTTGGCCCACCCAGAGGGAGGGTGGAGGTGAGCAGAGAAAAAGGAGAGAAGAGAAGGAATCAGAGGAGAAGAAAAGGACACAGGATGGAGAGCCAGAAGGAGACCTGAGGAAACCACATGGAGCAGCAAGCATGTGATGAAGAAACCGTGCTTATTTCCTGACCCTGGACTGGTTAAGGCAGACGTGGGTGAGATACCTGTAGGGAGGTGACTATGGCAGTGTTTATATTGATTTTGATTTTGCTCTTTTCCTCCCAGATTTGTCTGGCCATTTCTGACCCTTTTCCATGGGTCCCGGCCAGAAGGTGCTTTAGTGTTGCGGCGGGCTTTCAGGCCTTGCTTTGGGCCAATCCCTTCTGGGATGACTTTTGCCCACAAGGGGATGGGTAGCTTCAGGTGCTTGATTTAGACATTACATTCTTTGTCTTCTCTATTGTATACTCACTGTATTAAAGTCCCTTTTTCATTAAAGTTTTATATGTTTTGTCTTGATGCGGAGGATGGCAGAACTCACTTAGAGCAGGCAGGTTTGGGGCTTCAGGGGTGTCCCTCTCTCCCTGTCCTGTAACAGTTACAGTATTTTACCCCCAAAATAAATGCATATTTCCCTCCTTTCTCACACAAAAGGAAAAGTATGCTTCTAACTCTGTTAAGGTATTGTTAATGTTCCCTCTAAAAGGAACATTAAAAATTACTCTTCACACAACTCTCCCACTTTCTTAAACTGACAAGATCTATCCCAGTTTGGAGAATTTATCAATCTGCAGGCTCATTAGCACATATTCACACATATTAGCAAAAGCATTTGTTTATCTATAAAAATATATAATTGTGTAAATGCAAAGAGTATTTTTTGTGTATTTATGGCAATGCATTATAAAAACAAACTGACATTTTATTTTACTTACACAAAAGTTTTAATTTATATAGAAATGATAAAGCATTTCAGGAGAAAGTCCTAAAACAATTCTGCTGAATGACTGCTATAATAATTTCCTGAAGTCAGAAATAAACTAAATTGACAGTTGTGAGACATATAGTAGCTCTCAGCTAAAGATAAAACTCAATATTCAGTTGGAAAACAATAATTAAAAAAAAAAAAACGTAGGCAGAATCTTGGTTTAGATTGCTGGCTGAAATCAAAATCTGTTTCCTTTAAACTTCAATATTAAGGACATCAAAAATTGTTTATTAATATAAGCTTCCCAGGAATAAACTCAAATTTATACTAACTTCTGAACTCCACCCTGTCCTTTGATGAGGAGGAAGGTTTTCAGTGTTTTTACTGGGAAGAAGACAGTAAGATGCTTTTCATAGGCTCTAACTTAATGGAACTAGAAGTCTTTTTATAGCACAGAGTACTACATTATTATCATAATTTAACAAAAGTTCATTTGTTGTCCAAGAATTGTCAAGTTATACAAAAGCTTAAATTTGCTAATTTAGGAGAGTAGCATCTATTCAAATGAACAAGTAGACATGTCTTATGAAAAACAGTAAAATGTAAACCCCATTTTAAAAAAGTAAATAACTCCAGTCTTTTCCAACTGCCATATAGTAATTATCAAAATATTACCATATCACAGCATACAATTAACTCAAGTGGAAATGGCCATTTCTTATGTGCGGCAGAAATTATTTAGGTCATTAAATATAGTTAAGCTATTAATGCTGGAGAACAATGTCAAGAACTGGGAAGGCCCTAAAATTTTAGCCTAATTGCAAGCTAACAAGTTTGCATCCTATAGTTCCCTGTCCAGAAGATACTACTCTTCCCGAGTCAAAGACAGGCACAGAACACAGCAGGCAGCATGAGCGCATGCTTACATCTGTTTCTCTTATCCTCAAATTCCAAAGAGATAATGAGGAGAGGCCAAGGATAGAGCACAGTGCAACTGCTTCAAGTTGCAAAACTTCAAACTTAGTAAATTCTGTCTTATACAGATGTTGCCAAAAATCTGGTCATCCTTTGTCACCAGTAGGGACAGAGAGGAATGTTAGTACCTCAGACAGCAAACAGATCTGCCCTCAGTCTTGGAGGAAGATAAAACCTCTTTTTCCAAGACTGTTTCCTGTACAAATATCCTGGAAAAGCGTCCAAAGCAGGTGCCAATGTCTTTGCTCAGAAACCTGCAGAAATGTAACAGATCCAAGGAAAACAGTATCCAGAAAAAACTAAGCTTCACATATTTTGCTGTTAGTGTTTAACCAGGTAATTTTTACCATTTTATCGAAGAATCAACAAGAAATATAGAATTTGTGACTTTTCCTTAAGATAGTTATCAAACTGTCACACTAAAGAAATTTGTCCATATGTATTTTATTAAAAACAATCACTATGACACAAAATAAGTAAGTTTTAGCTGTAGCAAACAAAACATTCCCCTGATTCACAAATGACTTTTCAAAGATATCTACCAGTGGTACCATGTGAGATACCCCATGTTCACAAGACCTTAACTTTTACCAAATCAAAAGAAAGTAGGTTAGATCTAAACTATTAGCCAAATACTAATCTTCATTATAGAAACTGCTATTTACTGAAGAATAATTGACAAATGTATATATTTAAAGTGTACAATGTGATGATTTAATATACATATCCACTGTAAAATGTTCACAAAGATCAAGATAAACAGTTAACCACCTCACATAATTAAGAAACCTTAAATTCTATTTTCTTTATTTTTGGATAAGCACTTCAATAACTCTTCTTGACAGAGAAGTCCACCTCTCAAAACATTTAAACAAATAAAATTAAAATTTGGTATGAATTTTTTTTCCTATGGCTATGGGAAAGATTATTTGGATAAAACAAACTTTAACACAGAATTATGTTTCTAATATAACCATTAAAAAAAAATAAACAAAAATGCATGAACCTTTTCAAATCACTTTTGTAGAAAGAGTGTGTAAACTGTTTCAGCTTCAAAACCTTTATTCTATTTAAAACTGAAGGGGTGCGGGGGTGAGGGGGGAGAGGTTAAAGGAGTATATTTGACCATACCTCTCCTAGAGCTTCATATCTTTTCTGGTTCCATCTGTGCAAGTCTTCCCGGTAGTTAAAAACAAATGGTTCCCCAGTTTTTATGTGCCTTAACTGCCCCTCTAGAAAATAAACAGACAATATTACTACAAGTCAGTGTCCATTTATAATAAAGTGAAAGTACAATAAATAATATCTGATAAAATTTTAAAATAATTGACTCAAAAGTTTTTCCACCATTAAATTTTTTCTTTAATTATCAAAATGATGCAAACACATTAGTATAAAAAGGATGGCATCAAGTTCTCAAATGTAAAGTTTTTCCATTTTCATGTGTGTATTCTAAAGCAAATTAACTATATTAGAAATCCTATAATATATAAGGTCTTTCCTAGATGTAGTCATGAACATGGTCTCATTTTTTAAACTTAGAGGCTATCCATGGAGTAAAAGCATGAATATTAAAAATCAAGCAATTGTTTAGGAAGTTAAACAAGAGTGAAGTCAACAACCTAATTAACTGGTGAGGCAATTCACACAGACAGCAAAGTCCAAATGACTTTCAAAACATATAGGCTAGAATAGCATGAGAAGGTTTCAGTGAAATTTTTTAAGTAGGCCCTGCAGTACAGGTAATATTTCAAACGGATACTGGAAAGAGACAGTCTATACAGGCTTGGACTCTCAAGTTAGACTCACTGGCTTCATAGATATGACTAATAATTAGGAATAACTTTGCTAATGAGTTCTGTGGTATAAGCAATCAAGAGGTCAGCAAAGCAGAAAAGATCTGAAAAAGACCAGGGCATTTCTTCTGTGACCCTTCCACTGAGCAACAACCTCTAGTCCAGAGACAGAGAGGTATCTAAGTGAGGCATGGACATAAAGGAACCTCACACATCGGTGAAACTTTTGATTTAGAAATACTCTTTACTCTTTTGTACACCAAAGAGCTGCATTGCTTATGTGATATTCTTCAGAAAAGCATACTTCACCTATCCACAGATAAGTTTACTATAAGTAAAATGCCAAATCAGTCATCCCACTCAAAGTATTCCATGGAAAAAGACTCACTTCATAGCAAATATTAGTTTATATTCACTAACAGATTAAATTAGCAGCATGTTTACAAGGAAAAATAATCAAACCATGTGTCTTCTTTCTTTCCTTGGAGTTTTCCCCTGATGATCAGGAGAGAAACAGACCACAGGTCATTTGTTTTCATGCAAACATCACCACCATTCCACAATATAAACAAAATAATGAAAAATGACAGCAAGTTGAAACAATCCAAATTAAAAATATAAGATTATTAAGCCAAATAGTACAATATAACATTGGAGGCCATGTTGGGATCAAATAGTAGGACTAAATTTGTGGAATTAGATCTTTTCTAATGTGTAGTAAGGCATAAGAAAGGGTTTAAGGCAGTAGAATGTATGATCAAGCTAAATGTAATTAATGTTTGATTTACATCCAGTGAGGGTATGCAGGAGTAGATAAAAACTTTAAAGGAAAGTTATGAAACTTGTGATGAATTCAGGAAATACACCATTCCAAGTAAAATAGCTTCCCTACTTTTATGAATCAATTTTACCACATATAAATGGATAATCATAATGTATAAAATAAGGGTTAATCTTTTTAAATTCTTTCATATTCTCAACATAGGATACTACAATGGATAACAATAACACTGTTTATAAATAAAGTATGCCGAGCAAATTGTAAGATTGTGTTTCTATTTTTAGCACAGAGGTAACAATAGAAGTAGATTAAGGGCCTCTGCAAACCTATGATTTTGACTAAGAGCAACTTTAAAGGTACAGGACATTACTGAGGCTGAAAATTTAAAATGTATTTTCCATAAGACTGCCATATGAAAGTTGAACACTTAGCTAATATTTGTATCTACATCTCAAGAAAGAACTGCCTTGCAAAAAATTGTCTTCTCAGCTTAGAATTCTCATGAATTGATAAAGATTTTGACTCTTCAGGAAAAATAAATCCCAAGAAAATAGCTACTACCACTAGCATTAAAAATGAAAATTTGGGGAATACAAACTAGTACAACCACTATGGAAAACTGTTTGGAGGTTCCTCAAACTGCTAAACATGGAGCTTCCCTATGACCCAGCAATCCCACTCCTAGGTATCTACCCAAAAGACACAAAAACACTGATTAAAAAAGATACCTGCACCTCCATGTTTACTGCTGCTTTGTTTACAATTGGAAAGACATGGAAACAGCCCAAAAGCCCAAAAGTAGATGACTGGATTAAAAAGATGTGGTACATATACACAATGGAATATTACTCAGCAACCAAAAAAGAGAAACACATGTCTTTTGCAGCAACTTGGATGGAGCTGGAAAAAAATCATACTTAGTGAGATAAGCCAGAAAGAGAAAGAAAAATACCGGATAGTTTCACTCATAGCAGGAGTATAATGGACCAGGCGAGAAAATAACAAGAATAATGAACAACCATATACCAGAGACATTTTATGGGGGTGGAGTGGGGAATGGGATCAAAAACGGGGGAGGGGGGTAGTGCACAGGATTATGGTAATGGCACATGGGTGACTTGGTGATAGGAAACCCGCAGGGATTACAATTGAGATGGGAAAAAATGTACAAAATGATGTAAAAATAAACTGCTATAAAAATTTAAAAAAAAAAAAACATGATAGGATGGTAGAGAAACAACGTAGATTCTTCCAGGAAAAAAAAAAAAATAATAATTTGGTAAAGAGGTAAAGAACAAAACCATTTTTGTCCAGAAAAAAAATACTTGGGTCAATTATATTATAGATGTATTTGAAAATGTCAAGGTTTGGAAAATTTCTCTAATGAGTGTCAATGGTCTGACATATAGCACTTGAATAGAGTCCTCGAACATAGTTGCAGCTTCATATATACCCAAATTAGGAGTAGTGCTCAAAATCGTTCTCCAGATTTGTGGTGGAGTCTTAGACTCAAGCTAGATCATTATTGACTTGAAAGGATTCAACATTCTTTCTAGCATGTCCTAAGAGTTCATAACATATCATGTCCCATCGAAGAAAGATTCAAACTCAGATGATCTGTCACTGAGTCCTTCGTACGTATCTATCTACCTACCTACCTATCAATATTTTTGTGATAAAAAAGTGTGCTTCCTTATAAAACTGCACCAGTCCCAGGGAAAGGGCGAAAAACAAAAAGTCTTTATACATATCATTCTTTTAATATCCAGGGACATTAGAGCTGGATCTTTTACAATTATAATAACTGGAAAATGATTAAATGGGAATTTTAAACATAAGGAGTAAATAAAATGGCAGGTGATTTGAAAGAACAATGTATAGTTTTAATGTGGTTTTAAAAAATATTTTGCTACAATTGGTGTGTGTGTTGTCTTTTGTTCTGAGTTTTGGTGTGTTTTCTTTGTTTCTATTGTTGTTACCATAAATTTTGTATCCAAATTCTTCTTTTATCCAACTAAGAACTTTAAAATTCCTTAGAAAACTTTAGAAGTTTCTTAAATCAGGAAAAGAAAGTTTCATTTCAAAGCTTTCAAAAGAACTTATGTCATTATAAACTGAAAAATAAGTTGATAAATGTATGAAGTTAACATTGCTCTTATTGGAGTTAATATCAAGACCCAGTTTCCTGTTTTCAAATCCACACCTCCTTCAAAATATATTCATTAATCCTGAATTCAAAAGTGAATTGTACTATGTTAAAAATAACACCCTTAAAAGTGACATCCTTTCTTCGAAATGCAACATCTTTGCTGCCCTGTGAGTCTATCATTATACAAGAATATTAAGAATATTTAAAAAATAAAAAGTAGGTGTGTGCACAAGTACAAATGTGTTCTAGGTGTCTATGTATAAAAGGCATACACGTGTGCAAATGTTTAAGTATGTGCAAAGGTAATATGCACAGGGTACATGCATGTGAGAGCATATTGCTTGAATAAGGAATTTCACTAGGAAAGGATACATCATTATTTCTCAAAAGCATTCTAGCCAGAAACCAAAGTATCAAATAATTTCTGTTCTATGACACATTATCATTTTTAAGTAAATCCTGCACATAGCACACATTACTTACTTTCATTAAAAGCATATTCAAATCCTTCCAGGGTATCAGGAAAATCAAGAGGTGGTTCATCTTTTTTCATTAGTTCATCCAAATCTATCCTGGATAATAAATCTAGAGGAAAAAAAAAAAGACAACAAATCTGTTTATATTTTCACAGTTAGTAACAGATATTTTATTTTAAATATTTTTTTCTATTAGATTAATTTTTATTTGGTGCCTTAATTAGTAATAACACTAAATTTTAAACATCAAAAATACTATATTTTGATGAAGTACATAATCAATACAACTTATAAGAATTAGGATTCTGACAACACAACAGCCACAACTAGATCCTATGTAACACTATGCTAAATTATTAACTTTGCCCCTTCAAAATATACAAATACTTATTTGTATCATTATACACGTCCTTTTATAGTATTAAAAATATTACATGACTAGGGAGAAAATCACAATATTAAAATAAAACCTGCTCACTGAAGAAAACTGCTTAGCACAAGCTTTTATGTTCATAACACAAAAAGTTGTTAATTTTTTTTAAGTAAACATTTTTAATCTTGGAATCAGTTTAGATTTACAAAAAAGTTGGAATACAGTACAAATAATATCTGTATATATTTTTACCTAGTTTCCTCCATACACACTATCAGTTACCATGGTAGAATACAGAAGCCAATACTGGTACATTACTGTTAACCACAGACATTGTCAATTTCTCCATTAATAACCATTTTCTATTGAAGGTTTGCATTCAGGATAAGGCCTACTTCATGTAGTCACATTATCTCCCCAGTCTCTTCTGGCCTGTAAAATTTTTCATCATAGTTTCTTTTCCATGATCTTAAACTACATTAAGGGATACTAATCAGGTATTTTGTAGAATGATTCTCAACTTCTGTTTGTTCGATGTTTCCCTTTAGACTAGAGTTCTAAGTTTGTAGAAAGAACACCACATAAGTGAATTGCCCTTCTCAACACATTATTTCAAGAGGAACATAATAACCACAGGACATCAGGTATTTAAGGTAGCCTTTGCAGATTTCTCTACTACAAAATTACTGTTTTTCCCTTTCCATAATCTATCTCTTAGAAGTAACTAAGTGTAACCACACTTCAAATAGAATGAATTGTGCTCTATTTCCTGGAGTGTAGAACATCTGAACATATATGCAGTGACCCTGTGTGAAAGAGTTGTCTCTCTCTCTCCCCCATTTATGCATTTATTCAGTTACTTATCCAGAATGTACTCATGGATATTTACTCTACACTATGGGTTACAATCCAATAACACATCATTTATTTTGTTTCTTGATATTATTTCAGGCTTGGTCATTTTAAATGGCTCTTGTTTTTCGTTGACATGCTCTTATTTGTTTTTATTTTGTTTTTGTTTTGAGCATTTCCTTACTTTCTGTTACTACAAGATGCCCCAGGCTCATTTGTGTTTATTTTCCTTGCCTTAGTCCTAGAATCAGTTTGTCAACAAGAACTTAATGACATTTATTAAACTAACTATAGGGTGAGGGAAAAGTTCTTACTATGTCATCAAAATTATCTCAAAACCCAGAAAAATGAAAAGCTTCAAATTTGTTGGGTTCCAGAAAGATATGAAATTGTTATTGTTGAGCAAAGAAAAGAAAATAGGTTTTGAGGTTTTTCATTCTAACTGGAGTTCCAAAAAAGAAACTCAAATTCCTAGAGTAAAAGCTCCTTTGTATAGTAAAGAAAATCAGTCCCTTTTTCTACCAAAGATGTATTTCAAGTGTAACATTTTATTTCTGTCTCTCATTTACAGAGATTTCACAAATCCATCTGTACGGACCATAAAAACATGCTATTAAAAAAAAAAAAAACCTAGTTTACCTCCTCTCTAGTCTCTTTAGTAATTTTCAATGTTATATCAAATAAACCCCATCTCACAAAAATATACCATCTTCAACACACAAACAAAAATTCTACAGTAAAACAGAAATGTCACATAATATCCATCTGGACTAAAAAGGATGCATATGCTGACAAATTTCTGAGTCACTAGTAAAGTTCTAACACCATCTAAGTCTTTGCAAAACAGTAAAATAGGGGCATTTCACATCAAGAATTGGCTTGGACTGGTTAGAAGAATCTTACTATTTCTTTTCAATGAATTGAGGTACTGAGGCAAAAATTCTTTACCTCAACTTAAAGTCAGATACACAGAAACCATCCACTATATAAGCAGATGTATTATGTCTAATAGCCATTTTTCTTTCAGCTCAAATCACAAAATGCTACCCAACAAATTTATATAATTTTAAAGATTTCACATACTTCACTACATTTGATCATCACAACCCTATGAAATAGTAATGTATATTGTCATTTTCAGTCTTTCAGCCAAGAAAATGAGTTCAGAGGAGTAAAATGTTTTACACAATTATACCTCAATAGTAAATAAACATATTTACCAATACCTAATTCAGTGTTCTTTCAAAATCACAGACTCATTCTACATGCCATTTTAACCCTAAAATATTCTGCCCCATTTCTCCACTGTCTTATAAGTAAGCAAATATGAATACAGAAATATGCTTTTCCTTTGCTCAAAATGTTCTTTGAATAAAATGCATAGGAAGTCCTTTATCTTCTTTAAATTTTACTTTAATGATTTATTAATTTATATATATTCTATATCATTGTTCATATTTTTTTACAATGTTTGCTTTTTTCCCTCAGGTTTAGTGCACATAGAATCCCCACCATCAATGCACCCATGTACCATCACCCCATAGAATCCCATCATCAATTCACCCATGCACCATCATCATAGTCCCTTATGCTCTTCCCACACTGGTTTTGAACATTCTCCCTCCCCTGCAAAGTCTCTGATTTATAGTTTCCTGTTTATTTTTGTTTTGTTTTATTATGGTTTTTATTGTTGTTATTTTTTCTATGATCCTACTTGGTTCCCTATATTTCTCCTATAAGTGAAACCATCTGATATTTTTCTTTTTCCTTCTGAATTATTTCACTGAACATAATCCCTTCTAGCTCCGTCCATGTTGCTGCAAATGGCATTGGTTTATCTCTTCTCTTCTGTTAATAAGAAAATCAGAGATAGTTTTTATTTCATTTGCATTGAGAAGACTTAAAGAATCGTCAATATTATTTCTCTGCTTTATAAAAGGAAAGCAATACTGTATAACTCCACTTTACATAAAGAATGGGTTCCAAGGGCAGTGGATTAGGCAAAAATCAAGTATAATACAATTATCTGTAAAATACAGTATAACTGAATCCATAAAACCTAAATATGGATCAGATACGACACCACTTCTTTTTCTAAAACACACCTCTCACGTGCTCTCAGCTATTTATTTTTATGATTCAGCAACAGTTCTAAACTTCATCTAAGCATATGCAGCAATTAGCTAAAAACACTATTTAAAACACAGAATTTATAACAGACTCAGATATTTGTACACCTAAATTCATAGCAGCATAATTCAAAATAGCCAAAAAAGCGAAAAAAGCCCAAGTGTCCAGAGACAGACAAATAGTGTGATGGTAAGTTATTATTGTCCATTATTATTATTATGGCCCTTTATGGTGCCATGAAGTGGCCAAAAATTTGACTAAAACAGTATTTGAATGTGTCTACTATAAAGCTATCTCTGGATGAGATTAACATTTGAATCTGTAGACTAGGTAAAGAGTGAACCTCATGATCAACAGTGAAACTCATCTCATCTATTGAAGGCCTGAAAATACCAAAAAGGCTGAGTAAGACAGATTCCCCACTTTCTGTCTGTTTTCAAGATGGGATATCAGTCCTCTGTCTTTGAGGTCAAACATGGAGTAGAACTTAACACCATTGCCTCTTGTAGTTCCAGGTCTTTAGATTCAGACAGGAGTTACACTATCAGTTATTCTGGTTGTCTAGCTCATGGACCTTTTCAGTTTGCATAATTGAAGACATCAATTCCTCTAGAGAACCTTGACTAAAACATACTGTGATATCAAGTATGGTTCTAAAAGAGTAGAATGTTAAGGAAGAGTTTATGAGTTGGTTCTGGGATTTCCACCTCAATCTCAATTGGATTTAATGACACTAATGACTTCCCGTAGTAAGAACGCATGGTGTGATCTGACAATAGAAGTATGTAACAGTATCTCTACTAGAAACTACTAGTAAATCAGTTATAAGAAGGAACTGGGTAACTATGTATATGATACTTTTGAACAATTTTGAAGAACAAAATCACTTTGTTATTCCTAATATCACTGGGCAAAGTAGTTAAACAAAGGACGAATTCAGGGGGTTCCCAATTCATGTACAGCATAAATGACCTGAAAGTTTCTATATGTGCCCAAGGAGAACCTACCCTCATTCTGCACCTGGCTGAATAGCAATGCAATAAGACTGTTACAGTAAATTATCATTAAACTTAATAAAGTGGTGACTTCAAATACAGCTTCTATACCAGATATGTTTTCATTGCTAGAACAAATTAAATGATACCTGGCACCTGGTATGCAGAAATTAATAGAGCAGTGCCTTTTCCTGCACCGATGTCAATAAAACTCACCAGCAGCATTTTGCTTGTAGCTGGCAAGGCCAACAACATTCTTTCATAGTCCTACCTCAGAGATAGATCTACTTTCCAGTCCTATATCATAAATTATTCCATTGGAATCTTTTTCAACAGGTATCACTCTGATTCGTTACATTAATGCCATTATATGAATTGGACCCAGTTAGCAAAAGTAACACTTACTGTTGACTTATTGGTAGATATGAGAGGTTAGAAAATATGATAAAAAAATTCAGGAACCTTCTACCTCAATGCAATTTCTGGGGATCAATTTAGGCAGACTGAGTTTTGTTTTGTTTTGTTTTTAAGATTTATTTATTTGTGCATACAGAACTTGGGTACAGGTCAGAGGCTCAGGGGCGGCGAGAGGCTTCACCAGAGACAGAGTGGGGAGCAGAACAGGCAGATCTACGAAGTACACTGCTGAGGGGAGCAGTGGGTGGGTCAGGAGAGGTCTGCCACACCATGTGGTCACCTCCGGGGCAGGCAGAAGTGGCTTTAGCTTCTCAGTACTGTGCTTTAACCCGCTGCGCCACC